ACCTTAGAACTTGTTCCTCTTGCTCTTCTATCAAAAGATTGTCTTGTTACCAAGTATATAGCTATCAGAAACAGTGTAGATGAGAGGAGCCTACCTTGTTTAACCCCAGTTTTCACAGCAAATGATTTTGTCAGTTATTTCAGGTATTATTTGTTCATCAGTCTCCGCACAGTGACTTTATCATGTTGCCGATCTCACCTGAGATTCAATATGCAATAAAATGCTTTTTCAATATCGATGAAGTTGAAGTAAATTGATGATTGCCTTCTACAGATTGCTCTTTATTAATACCTAGTGTAGCTATTTGGACTGAGCAGTTATGTTTGATCTAAATCTTGCTTGTTCTCAGTATTTTGTCTGTTTCATTTTTATTTACTCATTATTCGATTCAAGATGACAAGAGCTTAGGATCTCACTTGCTACACTTAAGACAATGTGATGCTCTCCAATTGTTGAATAGACAATAAGACCTCCCTATTTCGTAAGCTGACAACTGTCCCTCCTTCCTCTTTTTGGGGATTCTCTTTGCTTCCCATATTTTGTTTAACAGTCTACAGATATATTCCGCTAGTTCTTATCCTCCAACCTTTAATGCCCCTGTGGTATTTCATAAATTCCTGCTAGTTTTGTTCCATTTTTAAAGATTTAATGGTTGTTCCTTCTTATTTAGGTCTTCCCCTGGGTCAACTGTTATTTGTTCCTCTGATGTTGGTCTATTTAGTACTTCTTTGAAGTGTTTATTCCCCCTTTCTAGCTGTTCCTCTAGCGTTAGCAACATTTTCCCATTTTTTATCTGACTCGTTTGGCTTTAGTAGATCTTATCTTCCTCAGAGATTTTGTGATGTTATATAACGTCTCCAGGACCACAAGCTCAGCTTCCCTTGCAAACTCCTTTAAAAAGTCTCTTTATTTTGCCTGCAGTTACGTTTGGCTTTTTAAAAATCTTGTTCCTGATATTTTGTTGTGCAATCTTGTTTTTGCATTTGTAATCTTATCCTTGTTATTTCTTTCCTCAACTTCTGCAAAGTTTTTAGTGACGGTAAAATAGCATATATTTAATGATTTATCAATTAAGGCTATAAAGGGTTGCATGATACAAAAAGAAACAAACGTGGTACTTTAGACAAATTCTATATAATCTTATAACCCTTGTATGAAAAATATTTCTTGATGACTATTAGCTGTTTGCATACCTTTTTTTGTCAGACAAGCTTCTCATTTTCTCAAACAATCTACTGGCTTGCGTTCCCATGGAGAACGTAGAACACCTGAATAGACATGTATACAGTCGACTGTAATAAAACATTTGTGTTGTGCTTTTAATTACAGAAATTCTTTTAATCTATAACACTCAAAGAACTGGACATTAATAAGAATAAAACAGACAATGCTATAACAAAAATTCAAATAATTTGTTGATTTTAATACTGATCAACTATCATTAAACACAGTGTTTGCAAACAAAACATATTTAGTATGATAATAAACATATAGAATTAGTCAAATAATATCATAATATAAAACAAGTTTGTAGTTTCCTTCAGGATTAAAATAGAATCAGTTTTCATTTGAGAGTCTATTTGATATCCTAAACAAGCGACATTATGGACAGTTTGTCAAACTGTGATAGCGACAGAAATGATAAAGGAGTTATCACGGGACTTATTACTGTAGTATTGGCTCTTCTTTGTCTCCAGTGGAGATTCTGTGGGCAGCACAAGACTTATAACCGACTGTTGACCTCAAGGAGACACAATGCTTTAAGTTTATGAGGGGAATACTTCCACAATTCGGTAAGTTAGTTATAAATCTTTTTTCTCGGAATTAATTCTAAGCAATTCTTAATTGTATTTTAAAACGTAACAAATATCAAATTATGTTAAGCATATTATGTCGTCTGGTTGTTTCTTCGATAATTTTAATTTTTTCAATTTGCCAAATTCAGTTTATCTTGCAAATTGTCTCCACTGTCGCTTAATTATCATAATCGAAATACATTGTATTTTAATGCATTTGAAAATAACATTAATTTATTTGATGCGGACAACAAATCAATTAAAAATCTCTTCAAATAATTAATGATATATTCAATTTGAAATATATTGCATGCATTAATTCAGTTGTTGTTACCATCAATTAATTTGATAAATGATTCGCGCATTAATTGAATCGCTACTCTCTTCAAACGGGATACTGGTAGAAACAGTGCAATACTTCAACTGAAGAGGCTAATGATTCGATTACTGCGCGCAAAATTGAATTTGTAGTATTTTCACCTCAATTATTGCACGCGTCAATTCAATAAAAGCGCGCAATAATTGAATCATTGTTTTCTTCAATTGAATTAGTGATATCTTAAATTCAACCAATGCACACAAAAATTCTTTTGATTGTGCAACTATTTAATTAATGATATATCCATAATTCAAAAATGATCTCTATAATTGAATTGTACGATAACAAAAAATCATCATACTGTAACCCCCTGTGAAAATTCCAG